TATAGAAAATAATATCTGCAGTATATTGTATAGATTAATCTGACATTCAACACAGATATGGTGTTAGGGCTGCTGTTTAAAATTCTTTGCTGATGAGTTTGGCAAATAAGTTCAGATGTAATCATTTCTTGAGAGAGAAATTGAAAGGTACTGTTTTTAATACCGTTTACAATGATACAGTGAAAAGACGGAAATTATTTTTCTTGACAGATTCTGATAGGAGAAAGAAAAGCTTAGTGTGGGATGCCTTTTTTTTAATCACCATGAAAAATTCCTTCTTGTTAATCTGATGGATGGATTACAGTTTGTGTCCTTGCACAGCCAGGTTGTATTTTCCATCAGAATTGGAGATTGTAACCCTCATTATATCATTTCTGTAATGCAAATGGTTATATATGGAAAGAGATTTAATTAATCCCCTGCTGGTTGGTAATATACCCTAAAGCAAACAAAGTCAACAAAGGAAAAAAAAATTAAAACATGAGTGTGCGGTGCTAGGTCAATGAGTGTCAGTAGAATTTCATCATCTGTGAAATATTAACTTACTAACTGAAATGTATTTACTGTTATAACTGTAAAAATATTTGCCTTTTGTCCCAACTGGTATGATAGTGAGGTACCTTGCAAGAAAGGCAAGGTCAAAGGCAATCTCAGGAATCAGCCGTCTGCTCTGGCAGAAATACCGACCATCCTGACGGGAGTGATGGTTCTCACTTTGATTTGAAAGGACGACGTTTAAGCTGCCATCAGTGCACGCTCTAGCATCCAACTTTGCCTGTGGGTCTGTGCCATATGCGCAGCTTACATATTCAAGGACAAATTACAAGATTGAGAGAAAGTGACAATTTTGAGTGATGGGCTCCTGTTTTCTTTGCACTTTCTGTTCAAAAGATGTGAGTTGTCTTGCAGGTCAATGAAATAAATTTCCAGGCTTTATTTCTATATCATAGAGCGTGCATATGTATACTCAAAAAAAATGCCAGCACTCTTTCTGCTCCATGAAACACTCTATTTTAAAACGCAGTTTCCTCATACAAAAGATCACAGTGGAATACTTTTTCATTGTGTATATCATATAAGCTGGCAAATCATCCTTAAACTGGCCAATATATTTTCACTTTTAGCTTTCTTGCTGCCTCTCCCATAGCAAATATACCTTACAAAAGAAAATGATAGGGCTGAGGAGAACCCAGTCCTGTTATGGAACCTGAACCGTGATGTCACGGTGTCCACCTAATTTTAGGTCTGCATAATTTGAGAAGATAAGGGGGAAAAAATATAAAGGGCTGAAGAAAGATATTAGAACCATCCTTTTATAAATTCCATGCAGCTACATTTCTTTCCTAAGATTCATTTTCTAACTAGTCGTCTGAAAATCTGCTGCTTTTGTCATGTAGAGATCAGGTTGCACATTTAATAATTATGCCTTGAAATATGGAACTTAGGCAAAAAAAAAAACTTTCAGTACAGTCTGTTCCTGTCATTTAACTATTGCAAGATTTTTAATACAATTCTTGTTTTTAGGGACGGAAGATCTGTGACAGTAACTATTTGTTCCCACTTCTGAAACTTCTGTGTGAATAACGCGTGACAAACTTCTTTCTGAAATTTTGCATCCTTATGCTATTTATCTCTTTGCATAAATTAAATGCAAAAGGTTAATTTCCCCCTTTAGGAGTTACATGGTTGACCTATTGGGTAGATGGAACAAAGGTTGGCTGAAGTAATAGTAGTAATGTCCATGATAAGTACAGGTGCTGGCAGGAACAGTGCTCAGGGAGGCAGGTGCTGCTGGCAGAAGAGGCAGTCTGAAGCTTTGTATATTCATGAGTTATTCTCAACAGAAGGGCGGTCTTAAATGAAAAGCATCCTTAGGATAAGCTAGCATTTTTTCTTCAAGGATTATTGCTGCACCTTGTAAACAGTATTTCAGACTATTTAGTCACAGCTCAGTCGTGTTGCATTAGTTATCTTACCTCTTTAAATGGGATTTTTTTTTATGGACACATGGACAAGGAATGCTGAACTCCTCTGAGTGGGTGGAAGCAAGTCAAGGCACAGCACTTGCTTCACCATTTGCTATCTGAAACATCCCCAAATGAGTGTCCTGAAATAGGTCCTCAGCTCTGAGTGCCGTCTGCTCCCTCCCTGTTTCCTTTTCCAGGCATTTTCTTCCTTCTTCCTGAGAAGTGACTCTAGTCCGTAACTCACTGATGGGTCAGGAAAAACAAGCCCACAAGCGTGCTGCTCACAGACACTTAATTTCCAGCTCTGATGCTTTTGCATTGGCCCCTCCTGTCCTGGCTTGGCTGGGAGGATTTTAAGAAGCGCTGTTAGCAGTTGTGCCTTGGAAGAGCAGGCGGGGGAGAGCAGGTGGAAGGAGGGAGCTTGGGATTCCTCCAGGAGCTGGGAGAAGTGCTGCCGGCTTGGGCAGCAGCTTGGTGGATGGCTCACAGGGTTTTAGGAAGGGGATTTTCAGGCTAATAGCAAGTGAAGTGCGGTGGAACAACAGGTGTAAAAATTGATTGCTTTGATTGTGGTCTCTGTCAAGAGCACGGAGGTATTAAATCCAAACTGCTGCCTGTTGATTCCACAGCTGCCCTGCGGTCGTCAGGGGGCGGCTACCGGCGGAGAGAAGAATCTCTCTTTCAATTGCATTGGCATCTCATCTACAAATACCTTTTTCCTTCCTGAAATTCAGTTGATCACAGGTTTTGAAAAATGATTTTGTGAACAAAAACAAGGTTTTTTTTAACCTTTTAAGCATTTAATCCTGAAATAGTTTAATTGTAGGAAGTATTAAAGCTCTATTACACAAGTAAAACAAGCGTACAGTACAAGAGAGGACACGGTTTGCCAACTGTTCTTCTTGCATCATGGTTCAGGTCTACACCTTAGAGCCACCATTATGGGAAGGCTGCTCTTGCGGCAAGTGTTAGTTGTATTTTAAAGTGAGTTTTCAGCCCTAATGACCAGAGTAAGTCTTGTAAACATGAACCCTAAAGGCTCTTAGGCTTGAAGGTTAATAAAGAGATTTAAAGATCACAGTTCTTCTTTTTCAGCCAACACCATGAAATAACAAGGCTTAAAAATGCATTTTGAAAATTTCTGGGTTTGACAGTTTTAGAATAAATGGAAATATGTCATATAGATGGAAAAAAAATACCCTTTGAACTAAAATATGAAATAAAATAGACTTTTGTTACATTGAGTTGTCTTTAAAACGGAGAAATTAATTAAGTCTTCTCACATGATGTAAGCAGTATGCTATAAATATATGCAAACACATATAATAGTATATAGTAAATAATTAGACATTATCTATTTATCCATTTTCAGTGGCAAGAAGCTTTCATTGCCGTGTAGACTTCATAGTCTTTCTATCAGATGAGAGTAGAAGAAATACCTTTTTAGAATATAAAACACACAACCTGTTATAGATGCTAATGATTTATTATCTTACATGCTTGAAATGTTTTGATTAGATCTTGACAAGTTTGTCTGATGACGGGGATTTATTTCTTGATGCTGTAAGCTGTCAGGCTTGTGATAATTCACACATGCAATTTGCTCCGTACTGTTAAATTGTACTGGAATTTCATTTGGTAGGAAACTTAGACTTGAAGGTGATAACAAATGTTGTAGGTTTTGCGTGGTTTTCTTTCTGTTTCATTCTTTCTTTCTTTTTATTCTAGCATCTAAAGCTTGTAGAACTTTGAGTAATATCCAGTATGTTTTTTAACAATCCAATCTTTCACAGTTCAAAAATAACACTGTTAATCACTTAAATCTACATGTACTCCATAACTAATTAAGGAGAACAGAGTATCAAAATTTGGGGATGTCTTTGCACTGGCTTTTTTTTGTGAACATTCTAAGAAAATACTGTTTTTTTTTTCTCTTTTTTTCTTTTTGAGGAAAACTACAACACAGGGATCAGTTTCCTGGGCATCCTAAATGGAAATTGTCCCCTCACATGCTTTTCCTTCTTGTGAAAAGCTGGAACGAGCAGCCTAGCATAAGCTTGGGAGCCTTTTCCAGGTCCTGCTAACTTAGCCCTCTTCTTCACACACTGGTCGTCTTGGACTTCGACGTGTCATCCTTGCGAGTGTGCAGAGGAAATTAATGTGTATTTTGCAAATTGAAAGAAAATGTGTTTAAAAAAAACACACAAAACAAAAAAAAACCAAAAAAGGGAGGGCATTATTTGCACTTGACGCCAGGCGCAGTGTCTGTGGCGGTGCTGGCGCGCGGCGCTGCGCGGGGGCCGGCTCCCACCTAGCGGCTTCCCGCTAAAGCGCAGGCCGCGGCCTCCCCGGCCGGGAAGCGCCAGCAGGAGCTGGGAATTTCAGAACTGCTGATTCCAGGCGGGAGCTGGGTCTCGCAGGCCTTGCCTCCGTGCGTGCTCCACTGGGTGCTTGTGCTGTTGGGACTGCAAAGGCCATGACTATTTGTAGCTTTTTCCAGCCTGGGCTGCTGCGCCAGTGTGGGACAGATTCACCTCTCACGTGCTGCAGTGCAGGGTACAATTACACACCGAGCATGTGTTCAGAAATTGCCAGTTTATCATTAGTTTGGCCTTGGCCATTTACTGATAAATAGCTGAGCGATACACAAAGTAAATGTACAAAAGTTAACTCTAGGTTTTCATTCTTTCTCTCTCTTTTTTTTTTTTTCCAGAAGGAGCTCAGTCTCCCCAGAAGAGGAAGCTTGTAAGTATAATTATTCTTTAATCGTAATCAATAATCATTCATTGCTTGTTTTGTTTTAAGCATACAGAGCAGTTGAGTTGTTGTAAATGACATAAATGGGCAGATACTGCGTTCTCTCTGAAAGCCTCTCTCACACACTGGAGAAAACTCCCTGCATTGCTCTGAGCTTAAAGCCTCCATTCATTTCCCGAAGTGTAGCAGGAGAAGTAGTAGTAGTGTAAGCTTACTGCTAATTAGCAGCTCGAGCTCATCCTCATTCAGCAGCAGCCTCGTACAAAGTCGCAGTCCTCAGTGCTGCTTGTGCTGACACCACTGAACTGACTCAGCAGAAGTCATGGATTTTTTGTGTGTGTTATGAACAACTTCGGTCAGTGCTTTTCAAGCAGTCCGTGTTCACAGGTAGCTAAGTACACAACTGCTGGCCCATGCAGGTGTTTGGGGAGCAATTAATGTAATGAGAGATGTCCACAAAGTAGCAAATGTTGAAAAAATACGCTTTAAAATTGTACTTTAAACAAATAGCATTTATTTAGTACTATACTTTTTGTATCACTATATTTACAGTAATACAGCTTCTGCTAGGCTTACAGTTTTCTGATGGAATAAAATTGCATTATTGATTGCACTGTATAGAAAAGCAAGCATTCATGCTGGCTATATATGCATTTTGATTTAAAATTTTTTCCAAAAACTTGTATATTACAAATATGAAGCTCACAAAAGCACATCACAATTCTGCCTCAGGTTTCTGGCTTTAACGAGAAATAATTGTCAAACTTTTAATGTAAGCTTACCCCTTTGTGTAAGATGCAGTGTTTGGAAAATGCTGTGTAGTGCCAGTGATTCACCACTGAACAATACCGTAGATCAAAAGGCTTTTTCTTTTCTTCTAGATGAGGCATGCCCAAACCTTTTTTAGTTCAGTTCATATGACAATGTTAAACCAGTCACTGAGTTATTTAAAGCAGACCATGGAACTCTCGCTGATTAATTTAGCAGGGTGACTTCTGTGCTAGCTTTACTATATTCGCTGCATTTTTAAGAACAGCGCTGTTTGTGATCTGAAGACTGTGAATTTGAATATTTGAATGCAATCCAATTATAAATGAACGGTGGAGTAGTGAGTTACCAGCAGGTTTTTTCCTTAATATAACTTAGATACATTTGTATAAAACGCTTGAAACTGAAATTGAGGATGCCAAAGGTTTTCACTTCCCTTGGTCAAGCATGGAGGTGGGTATGATGCAAAACTACTTATGAATTTACATTTGAAATATTTGAGATACAAATACAGTACTTCAATTATGCAGTGTATTATTCAGTAGTATAGCAACTAAATAAAACTGAGATTTGCTGAATGTTTGAGCAGTGTTATTACTTTGATTTAACATACTCAATTTTCATGACTTCGCTTGTATCTTCTTCCATGAGTGAGTGCCTTGTTAAGCCATGAGTATAAGAAAAAAAAGTAATCTATCTGTGTCCAAGCCCCACATTTTAGGTGTGTGTCCATGCCATCGATTTTAAGCACAAGTTTACAGCTACTGGCAAGAGTGAAATCTTTGAGGAATGGAAAAGTGTTTAGTAATCTTCAGACGTTATCTAATCGATTATTTAATTGTGTTTTCTGGAGTTACAGAGTCTGTTGTTGCTTCTACCAAATGATTTTTGTTTGAGAAGTGTAAATATTTAACAAGTCAGTCCTGCATTGTGGCTTATGTATCTCTGCTCATGTCATTCTGATTAGCATATAGACTCGCTGAAAGTGTCTTGTGAAGCTGATGTGCATGATTTACATATCACCGTATCAGAGTGTTTGGTTGATTAAAAAGAAAAAAAGCTACCGTTACTCTTTGAATAAGGAATTAGAGAAATTCCTATCAAGGAAGGAAGTAATTATACATATAAATGGGTTAAACCATTCTTGTCAAAAAGGATGGCTTAACAATATGCACTTAAATGTAGACTGTAGGCTGCTCTCAGTTCTTCTGAAGGATTTTCCTATGCTTGAATTAACAGGGGATTTTATATGGTTAAAAAATATGAAAATCAAATTTATTCTGAAAAGATAACGTGGTGCTGTAGCTAATGGATAGGGATAGTTAAGGATGCAGCTAGGTCTGGATTCACTGACTGTCGCTCACTGACTTTGTTCGCTGACAGAAGCAGGCGTTGGCAGATGGATAAAGTATCTGGCTCAAAGCCAGAGACCCTCGAGAGGTGCATCCATTTTCTGCACAAACCCTGCCTTTGCCTTGCAATCAGTAGCAATTCCAGTAGAGAGAGATACAGAGCTCTGTGTTCCCTTGGGTGCTAGCCTGAAGGCTGGGGCACATTAAATGCTATGAAAAGATTGTCTTTGGAGAGGAATGGTCCATGTTTTCCAGCACCCCAGAAGCTGAAGGAAGCCTGGATGTAGCTGGCAGTGGTTTTGGCTGTCTGTTGAGTTAGAACGGTGTTAAACTGTGGATTAGTTAGCACCTTTGTCATTGCTGAAAGGAGAAGGGAAAGCCTTTCCTGACAGTGCTTCCAAATTTTTCTGTATCTGACTCTCATCCCTTCGTATTTGCCCGGATCAGCATGAGTAGTCCCTATTTTTGTGCGGGAGCTGATTGTGGGCCTGGGCAAGAGCTGAGGTTGCTCTTGCTTGTACTGTGCAGGAAAAGCGGAGTTAGAGGCCTCAGTATTTTTGGCCAGAGAGCCTGAGATTTGTCCCTTGAAGATGATCTCGAGTGCAAGCTGAGGAGGGTGCGTGGTGGGATGGGTGAGGAGCAGCAACCGAGAACACACGCGCAGCCTGGGTGATGGCTCTACCTTTACGAGTACGTAAAGCATGTCTAAAATGCTAAAGGAAATTGTATTCAGCTGAGTTGTAGGCTGCAAAGATGATGCATAATACAGGCATTAGAGTGTAATTACTTGTTCCTGTTTTATCCTGCTTTGGTTCAACAATCCACATTCAAAGTTTTCCATCAGTAAATGATGCATATAAATATATTAGATATTTTTTTTCCCCATGATTGTGTGTACAAAATATAATTACCCTTCATGGATATTTTCCATTATTTCAAATAGTGAATTTGCAATGAGAGACCCAAATGTTGATCTGCTTCCTATTAGGATTTGATTCAATTCTTTGCTCCCGCTACACAGACCCTGTTTTTGGCGCTGTTGGCTTTGGCTTCTGAAGGGTTTTGATGTGCACCTGCACGTGAAGCCCACTGGAGACGTTCCAGTCTCGTGGACCACGGAGCATGGTGAGGCTTGGATGAAGCGGTTGGGTGGTCATGTATGTAGCAGGACCCCAGCATCCAAAAGACCAGGCTGCAAACCACAGATTTTCAGCGTGTTTGCAAGATAAACAACACAAGGTGCTCGCTATTTTTTCTGATCACCTCCTTGGCTAATCAGTAGTCAGGAATTTTAGTTGGAGTTGCCTTTGAGCCATCTGCTTTCTTGTTCAATGTCCCATTTTTCATAAAGTCAGTTGTTTGTAACAAGAACTTTACCGACCTGTTCAGCTCTTTTGGGAAGGATATGGATTTATGTCCAAAATCCTCATGATTTCTTAGGCAGGGTTCCTAGCTTGGGTTGTTGTAATACTTGTAGTATCTAAAAGTAAAATTTTATAAAAAGAAAATACTGTTTTTCCACATTACATCTAAATTTGAAGAGAGAGTCATTTTGATTTACCTTAAATTTTTATGTCTATCTTTATGAAATGTGTTAAGCAGTGCAATGCTGTTTGACAGAAATACGTCCAAAGCTAGTATGGTAGCCTTAATTCCTTTTAATCTCTATTTACTGTAAGGTAATTTGAGTCCCTTGTGGGGCTCGTGGTCTCTCTGCCATTCACTCTCATTTCTGCTCTTTTAAAACCTAAGTCTCTTTAGCCCTAGAAATCTCATAGGATTCTGCATTAAACAGGTTTTAGTAATATTTTAAGTTTACCTCAAGCTTCCTGACAGTAAAATAGCATAGACACCAAGGAAATGTGTTGAGAGGATATATGCTGAATCCCAGATTATATCAGCTTCTGCTTGTACTAGTTTTAAACTGGTGCTTGGACCTCTGCAGTGACAACAAATCTGATGGCAGGAAAAGATTTTCTGGGCTCCACTGCTTTATGCAGCCCTGCTGAGCAGGCAAAAAGTCAAAAATAGCCTGGTGCTCCTAACCCCACGTATGGGGCCGGTCTGGAATCCCTCCTGCAGCACTCACCAGCAGCCTTCCTGGTGGAACGGTCATTTAAAAGAATAGTTTTAATAAAAGAGAATATTCCATGATGAGGATTTTGGTGTTGTGCATATACGGTACACTCAGAGATGAGTTTGTGAAGGTTTTCTTCAAAGCTTTAAAAGTGAGAAAAGCACCTTTTTTGTAGCTTCTATGATCAAATTTCCACCTGCTTAATCCAAATTCTCATTTCAGCACCATAATAAAATTGCACCCAAGGAAGCCAGGATCTCTCAGCTGTTGAGAGATTGTGATCTTGTAGTATGGGGCACCTGGCTGTAATTTGAATCATGGGAGGATCTGAAGATATGAATTGTAATTGGGAATTTGACTTGTTTGAGTACTGGTGAATAGCAGGCTTTATATGCCTATTTTAAATAAGTTTTTTAAAGAAAGTGAGGTAACTGTTTGGTTAAAACTTATCGAAGAGGTGCATCTGGAAACTTTTTTGGAAGGCTGGCTTTTTGCAAATCCATGTTTTAAGACTGTTGGACATCATTTTACGGCAACTTTATTAGTAGCATGAGAACAATTTTGACTTGATTGAAATTATCATTGCAAGCAAAAATGCAGGATTCTCATTATACAGAGAACACTGCATCCTTAAAAAGTAATGTTTTTTCTCCCCTCTCTCAGTATTAGACTACTCAGACAGGGCTGTCTGCTTGTTCTGTGCTGCTGTGTTTGCTGTGTTAAAATTTATGGTTAAACTATGGTTATAATTAAAATTACTTGGCCGCTGCGGCACGGTTGGTAGTTGCATT